ATTCCTTAAGTACACACATTATAGTGACAAATTTATGTGCGCATGCCTAAAGAGGGTTAACATACCAAAGTAATTTGAAGACTTTTTTGGTGTATGAGACAAGTTATTTTATTTGGTCTTCATATTTCGCCCACAGTCTGGCCAAGTAGCCTTAAAAGGTAGCAACGACTATAGTTGTTTTATTAGAAACTATTAATATGAATTTATGTATAGTACATGAGTTTTTATTCCATTATTCATTACATTTTTATTTTTTAATAATTATGACACCATAGACATATATTTGCAGTTATTGTGATTTAATTAAAACATATATTAGTCACCTCAACATCTAATAAGACATATTAAATTCAAGATATATTTTTATAAAGATTATTATTTATATAACAAAATTTTAATTATTAATAAGTAAATTATGAGTAATAATGTAATAGAAGTACCAACTACAAAGGACAGTTAACTCGTTTGAATATAGCAACTAGTACGGTAACTGAATAACATATAAACTGGGTACGCATTGGCGAAGTAGTTATTCTGTGATAAAAATATTTCGGAATTAAAAAATGAAACATTATAAATGTTTGAAATTAAAACATTATTAAACAAACAAAATTTAATTTAACTAAAACAATATTAAACAAACAAAATGTATTTTATCACCTTATCGTGTACAAGACTACTAAAAAAGATTTTGAAACAACCCTCCATTAATTTTTCGTAGATTTATTGAAGCATAGCTCCTTTTAACTCCTCCTATGAATTTTTAATAATCCAATCCATGCGAATTACTTTCTTTGAAATAGTGATTTATACTTCAAGAACAAAAAAAAGGTTTCACATATGATTCCTTTCATTAAGTTTACTGCTAAAAGCTGTTCCACAATGATAGTTCAGTACCACGGCAGTTCACAGGAACTAATACTAAAAAAAATAGTTGATATAAAAACTTTGGACAACAGATAGGAAACTCTGTGCAGTGCTACCAACATACAAAGTGTGTATTGTATATATAATATATATAAAATAAAAAGTGGCGTATATATTTAATTTTGTTTTTAAGCAAACATTTACGATGCTTTTCACAAAGAATGTATATCATCTATTTTCTGGGTATCCGCATAATAATCAGAATTTTTAAATCCATTATTAATTGTGCTTTGGTAACAAAATATAAAGACTTTCGCCAATATTAAACAAATCTAAATATTTAAAATTTACTGCGAACTAAAAAAGGAATTAATTTAATTCAAGCGCTGAAATTTAATCCATAATATTATTTTCCTGGTAACATGGTATTGGTTAATAGGCAAATATTTCAAAGACTAGAGATGCGAATTGCTAAGCTTTTATTTATTGTGCAAATTGTCAGCAGTTTTCGGACTTGGTTTCTTCGAGGAACTCAAAACGTATTCAGACGTATTCAAAACGTATTCCTTCCCGAGTCTTCTTATAGGAAATAAAATCCTATAATTTAAATTTTCAGTATGGAGTAAACAAAAATAACAAGAAAAAAGGTGTGGGTACATTATTTATTAGAATTTCTGAGCAAATAGAACGGAAGGAGAAGGTTTATCAACCTTTTTTTTATTATGCAGATTTCATTTTATATTTCATTATTTTCTTAGTTCAAATTCATTTAGCTCATTCAAACCCTTACAAAGTGGAATAATGAATCACTTGGGTGGGTTAAATATATCTTATATGAAAAGTTCTAGCAAAACGCAACGAAGCTAGAAAAATAATCAAGCTTTTACTTGACGTGCTTCAACTTTCAGAAAGATATCCTTTGAAGACTTTTTTAAATATGCGGACGCTTTATAAAATAATCAAAGAAATTAAAAAAATGACAAAATACTAAAATACTAGGAAGAAAGATATCTTATAAAATAAACCCTAAGGATTTGGGGGTCCCTAGTAGAAGGAGAGATATGGATTTTTCACAGATTTAACTTTATATCTAATCTAACTAACTCATAACACAAGTATCGGTTTTAAAAATATCAATATTTTATTGATATTATTGTTTAAGAAAGCACTAAGAATCGTGATTCAGATGAGATATTTTATTAAAAAAACTTATTTAATTTTAACTTTTTGCCCATCACATTTTAATTAGCTTTATAAGAGACCTTGTGCTATGTATTTTTATATTGTATATATTTAAATTGTTTATTGTTGATATGACGTAATATATTATATATATTTATAATGACGACATCATGTTCTTATATATGTATGTATTTTTGTTGAATATGCAAAACCAAAAATTGCAACAAAAGTGCGATTAAATTTTTATACATGATTAATTATATTTTTTCATTTATAATTAAAAACTTGATTTATTATTTATAAAAATGCAAAAGCAAAAAAAAAACAAAGAGAAAAGATACTTAATATTTTTATTAAAAATAAAAAACACAAATACACTGACAAGATTGTCTGTCTTCCATGTGTTGAAAATATTTTCAAGCCTTAGTTACTGCAACCACTTGTGTCATTCATCAATTTAATTTTATTTACGTACCACACTGCACATTCAGCACTTTAGAGTGTAATAAACTCAGTATAGCACAAATTAGTGAATCATTTTAATACAAAACAATATAATCTTTTAAATGAAGAACAATAAAACTTTAATTATTTTGTTCTATTTTTAATAATATAACTAATATTTTTAAAGAAACTTATAGGCTGTTTACGTGATACATTTTATGCATCGTAAGCCAGTGGGAAAGGACTTTTTCATATTCGCATAGATAATAAATTGTATTTTATTTTAGTATTGATTTAAGTTTAAAAAGTTTTTTATTTTTATATAAAAAAATAAAAATTTTCATTTAATATTTTTTAATTTATTTATTTTATGAAAATAAACTTGACCGGATAAAATTAATTATAAACTTTGATCTTGAAAAATTTCTTAAAGCACTTTATTCTAATATATATATTTATTATAAAAAAAATTTAAATATACGTTTTTGTATAACAATATTTATTTATCACATATATATAGTATAAAAAATTTTTTAAACAATTTTTATTCAATTTATGCTTTCAAAATAAATTTAATTTATTATTATTTCTATGATATTCTATTAAATTTTTTTATTGGAATCCTTTTTCATATATTCGTTTTATGTATATATACAATAGTATATATATACTTTACTGTTTACACAAACAAATTCACACTGCCTTACACAACACTTGCCATATATATATATAATATATAAAAAACATTAAAAAAATTAATACAACTTGTGTAATTCACATACTTCAGCTTCCGAAAATTTTGACGTTTGCACTACTGACCGCGCTTTCGAACCGCAATGCAACAACTCTGAATTCAAACTAAATGACTGAGTTTTGTGCGCGCACTCCAACGTCGCTAAAGTCTCGGCCGGAGCGGATCACTGAGATACGTTCGATCGTTTGACTGCGTCGTTAGAAAGTTTTTCTGACGTCGGCGTTGTCAAATAAAATAAAAAAAAAATAATATCTACAAAAAATTGTAGCTGGTCACTTTAGATATGTGCTGTAGCGATAATCACTTGATGTTTCCCTTTTTATGGTTGGTGTGTTATTTTTATATTTAATTTTTTTTTATCGAAATTATATGTTTAAAAACGCATCCAAAAAATTTGTTTTAGGCATTAAAACGCAAAAATGTTTTTGGTATACTGATATGATATATAGTTAAGCATATATTGTATTTGCTTGCTTTACGATCTCTTCTAAAACTTACGATAATAAAAGCATCTTAAAAATATGAACTACATTTTGCATTCTAACTATTAAATTTGGGAAGTGAAAAATTTATTTACGAGTATCTACCATCATTATTAATTGTATTTTAATTTAAAATTTTATAAAATTATTTTTGAATTTGTTTATCGACATCCTTTTTATAATGGTTTTTATACATTCGGGTATAGGTACCTTTTTTGTTAAATATATACACAAAAGACTAAAGAGGAGGATGTAGATATTGTTTTAGTGATATTAATTTATGGTAGATCGTGATCCTGATGATGATTCTCAAGGAGAGTCGAAATATAGAGTGTAATAAAAAATATTAAATGTTGAGTTATTTAATAAATTATTTAATAAATTAAAACATATATAACAATATATTATAAAATAAAATTTTATATTATAAATTAATATAAAATTATTTATGAATTTATTTAAATTTTATCGCGCTTAGGCTGTTTATTTATCACATAAAAATGAAAAAAAAAAAATTACACTTATTAATTTGTGTTAAATCTATTTTTTTTTTGTAAAATATATTTAAAATACACATATTTTGATCTATTTCGTAGACCATCTTCCGTGTACATAAGAAAAGCGAAAGAAATTTTCTTATTAAAATACAAATGTTATTGATAAAATATATCTATATATTTATATCTACAAAATATATATATAAAATATATTTATATATATTAAATTAAAAAATGGAGTAGAGTAATTTCTACTGCTTCCTACAACACTACGTATTAAGTTAAGTTCTTATTAAGTTTATTAAGTTAAGAGTACTCGTATAGTAACCTGAATTAAATCGATGTAAATGATATTGTGTCAGCTAAGCTCTTTCTAATTTTTTTCTTTTCCTTTCAATAGTAGTGATATTTCTTATTTCAACAGTTACTATTCTAAATATCATAAAAACATTGAAAGTATCTTTACTAGACAATTTTATTAAGTGATTTTACAAAACAGAATATTTCTTTAATTGCTTTTGTTGTAAAAATAAGTATATAAATGCACTTTTGACAATTTTAAATAGCACTCTTTATTTTGAGCTTAAAAAATCTGTAACATGATTAATGATTACAGTAAAATATTACGATTGAAAAATTAAACTAAAATTTACTTACCTTTGTCTAGCAATCACAAACAAGAAAAGAGAGAAAATGAAAAACGGAAATGTTACTAAAAATTTCGAAGTCTCCAAGTCAGCTGTTTGTCATGATTGCCAGACAAAGGTTTTTAAATTATTCGCAATTTTCGGCAACATTCTCCTCCCCGCAGGCGACCCCAATGTCGTTTGCGTCAACTTTGCCGATATCCAGAATGGCCAGCTTTACGGCAGGGCGCTCCAAAAAGCCTTTTGTTGTTTTGACCTTAGCTCGTCTTACTTGGCCGTCTTTCGCTACAGTTGTCTCGATAACTATGCCTTTTACCCAAGTATTTCTCTTAGCCGTTTCATCAACTATCAGCACAACGTCTCCTACCGTAATGGGTTTCACTTTATTGAACCATTTGCCGCGACGCGTTAATGTCGGAAGTATCTCACGCACCCATCGTCGCCAAAATTGATTTGCAAACATCTCAGATTGTAGCAGGCACATCTTTGGATCGATTCTCTTAGCATCACAAAATGGTTTTAAACCATTAGCGCTCCCCAACAAGAAATGGTTTGGAGTTATTGGATCCTCATCTTCACTATCGAGTGACACGTAGGTTAAAGGACGCGAGTTGATGATCATTTCAACTTCAAGTAATGCAGTACGTAAACTTTCATCCGTAAAACGTTGAGATGGCGAAATTTGATACAGCACTGTCTTAATTGTTCTAATCAGTCGCTCCCACGCTCCTCCCATATGTGGTGCTGCCGGTGGATTAAATTTCCAGTCTATTCCTTGATGAGCTAGCTTGTGTTGCATAACCGAGGAATCAATGTTCTTCAACTCCTTTCTTAAAACGTTCTCGACACCGTGAAAATTCGTTGCATTATCGCTGTAGATGGTGATAGGTTCTCCTCGTCTGGCAATAAAATTTCTTAAACACATTAGGCATGAGTCAGTACTAAGACTATGGGCGATTTCGATGTGAACGGCTCTGATAGTCAAACAAGTTATTATAACACCCCACCTTTTCAGTGCTTTGCGATTCTCAATAACCACCATTGGTCCAAAATAATCAATACCCACATGAGTAAATGGACGTTGAAAAGCTGCTAGTCGTGCTGGGGGAAGTAAGGCCATTTGCGGCGCTTGAGGTATTGCCGATGAAATTTTACATACGTTGCAGTTTCGTCGCATCGATTTGAATAATGGTCTTAATTTTGTTATGAAATACAATTGTCTGACCTCATTTAAAGCAGTTTCATGTTGGATGTGATAAAATCGTTCATGATAGTGCGCACATATAAGGTACGATACTCTATGTTTTGGCGGTAAGAAAATAAAATCAGTTTGAGGTTTACACTCATTCGTAAAGTTACTGGCTCTGTTTTTTACTCTTATGAGCTCATTGTTATCCATATACACCTTTATAACGGACTGTTCCTTTCTACTATTCTCCCCATTTTCAGTGTCGACCAATCTTCAAGTAGTTCCTGTTGCACGCTTTTGTATATTAAGAGCTTCGCGCGCTCAATATGTTGAACAGTCAAAATAACGTTTGTAGCATTGAAACCGCCACAACGAGCCTTTAGTTTCCCAATGTAGAGTAGCCAATTTGCAACGGCACGATACAACTTGATCCAGGATGAAAAATATTCATAATTGAAACATGGTTGTGTCTCGCGATGATATAAAAATTTTGCACGAGTTTCACTGGTCTCCATCGGACCTAAGTCCACCTCAGTTGGCCATTTATCCTCGTCTTGTAGCAAAAATTCTGGTCCTTCGACCCACCGCTGCACATATTCGGGACTTTGTTTTGTTTTCGTTGCACTGTCTGCAGTATTTAATTTCGTGGGTACCCATCTCCACTCTTCGACGGTTGATGCTTCTTGAATTTCTGCAATGCGAAACATTACGAATTGTTGAAATTGACGTGGATCACCACGCAACCACTTTAGCACCGTTTTGGAATCGCTCCAAATGAAACGCTTTTTAATATCAAATGTGTGTACTTTACATATTGTATTCATAAGCCGTGTGCCAATTACAGCAGCTTGTAGCTCCATTCTTGGAATAGACATCGGTCGCATTGGAGCGACTTTGGTTTTTGCTGCTACGATCCTCGTACTTACTCCATATTTATCTTTAATGCGGAAGTATGATACAGCTGCATAAGCAAACTCACTCGCATCTACGAATGTATGAATTTGTACATCACATGAACTTTCTGTTATGTATGGTGAATAACAACGGGGTACAGAAATATTAGCAAAAATAGGCATGCAGGCAACCCAAGCTAACCACTTGCCCATAAGATCGGGTACCAGTGGTTGATCCCAGTCGATTCCGCTTCTCCAAATATCCTGAATAAGTATTTTTAAATATGATGTGAGGCAAGCTGCCAGTCCCAATGGATCAAAAATGGACATTAAAATTTGAAGTACTTCTCTTTTAGTGGGTACAATTTCATCTGCAAAAACATTACGACGTAAACGAACGAATTTTAAAACATATTTAAAGCAATCTGACTTCGGGTCCCAATACATGCCGAGAATTTTTTCGATCGGAAGTGTGTCGATATTATTATCAAACGACTTACCCGTCTGTTCACCATTTTCGTTTAACGCAGCTAAAACTTCTGGTGCATTACTTGTCCAGCTTCTCATATGGAAACCACCTTGTTCATGTATGTTGCGAACTGCCTCGGCTAATGCTATTGCTTGTTCAATGGAATTTGTTGAATCTATAAAGTCATCCACGTAATGATTGTTTTTAATAGCGTACACTGCTCTAGGATTTTCAGCTATAAATCTTTCTGCGTTCAGGTTTCGAATAAAATGCGCTATATATGGTGAACATCGCGCACCAAAGCTAACTACATTTAATTTATAAACGCAAATATTTTTAAATGTCTCGCTGAACCATAGAAATCTCTGAGCATCAGTATCTGCTTCTTGTACTAGAATTCGATGAAACATTTCAGCAATATCACCACAGACAGCTATTCTTCCTATACGAAAATTTAATAATATGTTTATAAGTGGTCGCAGCATATCCGGACCCTTCAGCAAAAAATCGTTTAGTGACACTCCTTCAGCTTTGGCTGCAGCATCCCAAACTAATCTATGCTTTTTCGGTTTAAGTAGATTGCGCACAATAAAAATTGGTAAATACCAAATCTTTCCACCTCGCTCGTTAATTGCTTCTGGTGGCAACTCAGTTGCGTAGCCCTTGCTGACTAAAGTAGTGATTTGTTCCTTTAGCTTTTGACACAATTCAGGGTCCCCATGCATTTTTCGACGTAAGCACTCCGCTCGACGTAATGCCATCGGCAAGCTATTTGGCAATTCGACCGTATCGGTGTTCCATGGCAAATTGACAACGTAGCGGTTTCCGCGTAACTGGCACTTGCGCATTATTTCCTCTGCTCGCTGATCCTCAACTGAAAGTAATTCTGCTTTTGGGGTAGCCACCGCGACATTCTCGTTTACTATAAATGTCTTTACTAACTCATGAAGCTCCCTATCAGCTTCTTGTCCACAGCTACATTTGTGTAGGTTTAAGTTGTTACGGTGGTTTAATTCACCACTACCAAAAACTGTCCAACCAAGACGTGTTTTCACCGCCACGGGTTCTTGCCAGCCACCCTCCCTCACCTTAAGTGCTGAAATTAAGTTTGGATTATTTACGCCGATAATCAGCATGGGGACAGCATTTGTATAACTTGCTAGAGGCAAGCCATCTAAATGCGGATACCATTGTTTTATTTTATCAGCTGCAAAAGATTCTGCTGACATGCGTAAGTTGCTTATTGTGCGGACATTTTTCAATGGAAATTTTTTAGCTTGAGGAGCATTGGCAGAAATTTGTAAGTTGAGCCTTTTTGAGTTATTTTCCTGTCGACTGATATTACCTGTCCAATTAATGCATAGCGCATCCTGGATACCATCGTTTCCCAATTCATCGGCTAGACTTGCTTCAATAAGCGTTAGTGTTGACCCATCGTCCATCAATGCATATGTGTTAATAGTCCTTTTGGTGCCATATAAAGTAACTGGAAGAATTCGGCAATATGACCAGCTTTTATTCACTGATGAATTATGGTTGTTGAGTAACGCTTTGTTTGAGTATGGACTTAAACTTATTTGTTCTACTATATCCGATGAAACATTGTTAGCTGTAGAAGATATTGCTGGCGTAGATTGGTCTATCCGAGAATGCAGCATGGGGTGGTGTCGTGCATTGCAGCCATCAATGCCACACACTTTATTATTGAAACAGCGACGCCTATGCTCGCCTAAGCATTGTCGGCACAGCTTCTTTTCCTTGACAATGCGCCAGCGTTGATTAGTAGGCTCGTTCTTGAATATTTCACATTCCATTATTTTATGTCCGCCGCCACAAATGTAACACCTAACTGCCGTGGTTGTCATTTCAGCTGTCTGATGTACGTGCACTCGTCCTTCCTTTTTTAGTGGTTTATCTAAAAAAGAAGGTGTAGCTACTCTACTTGCCGCATTTGCTAAAGATGAGAGCCACGCTGAAAAATCGCGAAGTGTAGGTTCGGCTATTGATGCTGAATGTAGTGCCCATTTGAGCTTCATATCTTCAGTTAATTTACTTATTAACTCATGTAATAAGAGTGGATTATTAAAATAACTATTGAGCTTACATGCCTCAATTGTTGCAACTACATTATTAATGTTGACTGCAAAGTCAATTAAATCGCCCAGCCTACCCCTTGGAGGCGGTAACTGACGCATTTTCTCAATTAACTTATTTAGAATTATTTCTGGTCGTCCAAAATACATACGAAGAGTGTTTATTATTTCTCCAACCATATTAGGCAACACCAACATATTGCGTACTACATCGCGCGCTTTACCAATGAGGCACCTCTGTAAGCGCATTAGACATTCATAATCGGAGAAACCTGCGATTTGCTTAGTTTGCTCGTACGCACTTATAAAAATGTGCCATTCTTCTGGATCGCCGCGGAACGTAGGCAAATCTCTCGGTATGCATTGACGCGCTGCTAGCTGAGACGACGTAAGCGTGGGAGCGATCTGTAAGGTATAAAGAGATGGATTATTTACTAACCTTGGTGTACTCTGTAGATGAGGTTGGCCATGTGGCGAGAAGTGTTCATCAGCTACGGCTTGATGTGCATTCAGCTGAGGCCCAACTTCAGGCAAATGTGATTCCACGATACCCTCGTCGTCACTATCTGCAGTGAGGATTTTAAATTTTTCCCGCAAATAGCTCTCCCTAATCTGCAACGACTCTTCTAGCTGTTGCAACTTAAGTTGTTTTATTCGAGTAATGTTGGCGCTGGGCTGCTGCTGTTGTCTACTATGTTGACCATCATCCTCATTGTGTTTGTGTGAGATTTTATCATCACCATCTGCATCTCCAACTTCAAGTATGGCTGCTGATGTTAAACCTTTTTGAAGAGGCAGCTCCACGTCATTATCATTTTCCATATTATAAAGATTTTTTAAGAATTTCTTGTTGTAAAAATAAGTATATAAATGCACTTTTGACAATTTTAAATAGCACTCTTTATTTTGAGCTTAAAAAATCTGTAACATGATTAATGATTACAGTAAAATATTACGATTGAAAAATTAAACTAAAATTTACTTACCTTTGTCTAGCAATCACAAACAAGAAAAGAGAGAAAATGAAAAACGGAAATGTTACTAAAAATTTCGAAGTCTCCAAGTCAGCTGTTTGTCATGATTGCCAGACAAAGGTTTTTAAATTATTCGCAATTTTCGGCAACAGCTTTTTCAAAATTTTATTAAATGAATTGTTTAAAAATATTTTGCTTATAGGAAATTTACTATTTGTATAAGTAGAATATTAGACTGCTCATTCTACTCATTCTATTGTTTATAAATAGGTTCTTTTTTTGTATAACAAAAAAAAGTAGAAGACAGCCCACACTTATTTACTATACAAAACTATTATCCTTTAACAATTAATATTTTAAATAAAGTACACAATTTTAAATACTAAATTGAAATACTAATTTTTATTTTCTAAATAACATTAAACAATTAATTTAAATTTTAAAAACTCACTTTTGAAACAAAGAGTCGCTGTTGCGCTTGCAAAGACTTCTTATAAGCGTTAAAGTTTGTATTTTATAAAATTATAATTCTTATTTAGTTTGCAAATAATGTACTATAAGTTCTAACAGTCCACCCCTAAATTGGTAAATATAAAGTTAATAGTTTTTCATGTGTTGAAATTGATTTCACTTTTAATTTATTTGGTGTTAATGTAAATGGAAGATAAATGTTTTGCTTTTAATGAGTTAAAATAGGTACTTAATGAGTACTTGTAAACAGTTAATAAAAACCTGAAGTATGAAAAATTTACTTCTTTAAACTTTGCTTTTGATTTGATTATGGAATTATGTTGCTTTTGAATATTTATTGGCTTTGCTAGTTAACTATGTATATAATTGGGCTTGTACTAAATGTTGGGATAGTTGAAGATTTTTTTTTTCTGAGTTTGTGTGGATGTTTAACAACGGTATCTAGGTGGCGTAGTCTTTGTAGGCTAGGAACAAGGCATCGACAAAAACCGTGTTTACAGCGCCATCTCTGGTTGCAGTGATATGGGAAGTAACCATTTAAAATCCTCCAGCCTACCCTTAGTTAAACTATTATTAATTGGTATTCTTTTTAATGGAATCAGAATTGTTTTTGCTGATTATCAGAATCAGAATTGTTTTTTCGATTTTCGTGAAAATGAAATATATATGTAATATGTATATATGTAAAAACCAACATTTCCAACTAACATTTATTACACAATAGAGATGTAAATATTTTTCCTTATAAAAGAACTCTATGGTAATAACCTCGGTTAACATAAAAACTATTATTTTAAAATTTTACTTACAATAACTTAATTTAATTTCACTTCACGTTCTCTCAGTTTATTACGAACACGATTAAAATATATTTCTTTTAAAATTTTACAAATTTAAAAAATTTTAATAAATCCTCTTTACTTTCCGTTTTACTTTCAAACAAATCAATTTTTAAAGCTTGCGGTCTCGATAGAACCGCTTTTAAAACTGACTTTGCTAAATTTGTCGGGCGAGCGTTGGTTGTGAATGACTTTTAAGGCAAACGACAACAATACAAAAACTCAGTACGAGTATCTATCTACCCACATTGTACAGCAGCTATAACAGAACGTCATACGCGGTTGATTCATAACAAAAACGATTGTAAGCCACTATAATGCAGATGGAAATAAGCTGTAAGAACCAGCCTTAATCAGCGATGAGTTGTGTGAGTTACTTTGATACTCGGTGGCAGAGCTGCGGTTAAACGTTTCAGCCACAAGCCGCAACTCCGAGAGCAAATCAAAAACCGGTAAACTGATCTCTTCTACGCCAAATGCGCAGATAAAAGCATTTTTGCAACGAATGCAAAACTGGAAGTTAAAATCAAAACAAAAATTGTGAGATGCGTTAAACCAGGTTTCTTTTTCAAGTCAGCGGCGTAGTCACTTTTGCTCTTTAGTAGAAAAATGTATTCAATAATGCACAGTAGATACACAAGCAAAGTCACAGCGTTTATTACAATAAATTCCGATTATTGTATTAAATTGTGTTTATAATGATTTAAATTGTGATAAACGCAAAGCAATTGTTGTTGCAGTTGCATATTATTATGTTTTCGATTGGTAAATCTAGATTCAAACTAGATTTATTCTCGATCTGGTAAATTTTGGTGCGCAATCGAACATATTTAGATTAATCTAAAATTTTTGTAGTACTTTTATATTTTTTATTAACACATACCTATATCGAATTAAATCACACTTTATCTGTCAAATCATATAAAACAGCTGTTCATTTCAGGGTAATCTAGTTACTCTGGCAAAATATCTAGAGTGTTATAAATTAATTTCGAATGTTATACTTTTTATCCCAGTTTTACCAATCGAAAATGAAAATTCACTAAAAGTGCATAAATAGAGTATCTCAATTGAAAAATATAAGGGTAACATTGTTATTGTGAATTTGTCTAGGAAGAAATAGGAATTGAAAAATTTCTATTATGAATTGGTTGAAAAATCTCCGAAAACTATTTGCGAACAAATGCTAGTTTGTGTTCAGAATTCACAGACCTTTATTGCTTTATTGACACTCTTGCTTGCTGGGCTCCAAAGTATACTTCTATGAAATCATCTGAATAACCTTTTATAAGAATTCAACGGTGCTCTTATTACAGTGGATCATCCAAGCTGTCACAGAATCTATTAAGTAAAAGTGCTTTATACACTAACTCACATTTTATCAAGCAAAAAAGAAGAAGAAGACGACAAGTTTTGTTGGATTTGGCTCATCACAAGATGATCCAAAGTAATAGTAAGTCTATCAATATGTTGTTGTATTCTTTCATTTTCTTCAAAGACAGATAACTGTAAAAAATAGATTCTATGTCACGTTTGAATGTCGTCTACACTGAAAATAATTCTTATTGCATTCGAACACAGAAATATTGCTAAGGAATTTCCGGTGTAGATGTTTAGTTCGGATTGCGAAGTTCAGAATATATAAACTGATCCTTCATTAATTTATTGTTAATAAAACGCAGGGTGGTAATTGCATTTAGGATTAAAAGTGTTATTCCATGAGATAATTTAGCGAACACATAATTCGCTTGAACACATAGTCAGAAAATTGTGATATTTCCAATTTATTCTAATAATTTAATACAAATTTGATTAATTATAAAATATTTTAAAAACTCTTATTGAATTGAAAACTAGTGATCGAACACAACGAAGTATAATTTCGCTAAAAGTAAATAAATAATTTTCATTTTTTGTATTAAAAAATTAAAAAAAATTTTATTTAACTAAAATTGTTCCGTAACAGATTAATCAAAGGAAGTCTTAGGCTTAGGAAGTCTTTAACTTCAATCATGTTCAACTAAGGTCTATTTTAAAGGGTATATACTTTAAGTAAATTGTATTAAGTGCTATTTTATTAATAACAAATATTAGTTAAAAAAAAATTATATACAATAAATTCATTGACTTCATCCAAAAATACCAACACAAATATTTATAAAATTTTTTCTAAAACAAATTGTTTATATATTGCGCATATGGAAATAATGTAAGATTTTGTTTTAATATTTATTTTAATCATAGCAATAAATAAAGTGCACTTCTGTTATCTGGAAAAAAAAACATAGAATTACTTTAATTCTACATTTTTGTACAATGTTATTTTAAGTTTCAAAGCTTTACTAAAAACTTGTTGGAAACTTTAAAAGCTTTGATATCATTAAACTTGGGAGCTTTTCGTGCTTTTGGGAAAGCAGCTCAAAGTTTAAAGAAACTATTGAGTTTAGATCAATACACTCAACAAAAGCTGTTCATAATAGTTATTTAAAATTTTAAATAATGCATAATATATATAAATATTATTTGATTGAATTTGATTTATTTATTTATCATATTTATAGTTATTGTTAATACACACTTTTTTGATAAAATGATATATTTAATATATATTATTATAATATTTACAAAAATTACAGATATAAATTTTTAATAAAATAAATGATTAAAATTAATTTATTGATTGTATAATGTATATGTACATTATTTTACACCGAAAAGAAAGTTAATAATTTTATCAAAATTTCAAATGAAATTAAGAAAAGAGATACTATTTTTTAATTTCGTTTTTGAAAAATTCTATTTATTTTTATAAAATATTTATTTATATATAATATTAATAAATATATATTTTTATTTAAATTTATTTGAAGTAAAATATGGAATAGAGTGTAAGTAGTATTGAGATGTTCTATAGTAGATAATTCCTTTCCAAAAAGTTATATATAAGAAACCATAATAGTATTTGAAAGGGATCTTGCAATCTTCTGAACTTATACTGGTTTGAAAGTGCTTTGGTTGTTTTTAAAATAAAATCATTTTATTAAAATTAATTCACTTTTTTATTTCAAGCTATAAGTAATCTATAAATAATTTAAGCAGTAATCTTCATCATATTCCTATTATATAGGTATATGATATATATATATTATATGCAATGTAAGATAATTTTTATGTTTTTATTGGTATACGAAATTGATTAAAAAAGTTATTATATATATAAAATGTAGTTTTAGGGATGTTTTTTACAGTATAATTTTATTGTAATTCAAAAGTCCTTACTGCGCAAGTTCAAAAATTTGACATGCGTACCAAAATATACTACCCCAATGGATTTTATCACATCTTCTCCTTTCCTTTCATTAGTTTTGTTATTTGACAAAAAAGTGTTTTAATCGAAATTTGAGTATTTGGCTTTAATTTCTTATTCGGGACTGAAGACAAAAGATGGGGCAAGATGAAGTGAGAGTTGCAGCAGTTAAAAAGAGTGAGAGATAGAGAATAGAAGGAGATTTTATATTCTGCAAATTGGGCTTAAGAATTGATATGTCATACTGTATGAAAGCCGTAAAATATATACTCTATAAAATGCTTTTATTTGTCATTATAAATTTTATATATATAAGTATTTGAAATAATGTTAAAGAAAATAAGAAATATAAATATTGATGTTATTAATGATTCGAACTGCAATTACATCTTTTTCTATTGAATTGTTTTTGGTAAGTGCATCAGACAATATAATCGATACGATATGAGGTGGACGTAAATATTTTGAACATACAAATATACCCACTACTGTACTTACGTTGAAAACATACATCCTGATCCGGAAAAGATCCAAGTGCAAAAGTCAATTATGGCTGAAACTTAATACTCTTGAACAATAATATTAAGAAGGTATGCGTTATACTTCCGATACTATACATCCCATACGGATAGGAATGAACATCTGATAACACAGTTAAGATTAAGCTATCCTTGTTTAACTATTGTATATGAAACATATAATTATTATTATAGCACAACGGAACATAGAAAGTATTGTAATTAACATAGGTTTGAATCGCACATAATAAATGACATAAAATATGTGTGGTCCCGGCCATCCTAATAAGTTCTTTGAGCAATTGAAGATGCTGCGCCCCCCACTTCAAACTTTTTTCATTTCTTGCTAACAATTGTGACGCCAGTAAAAACTCATATCCTCACAAACTTGACCGCTTGGGAAATGTCTATATGTCCAATAAAAACTCCCATCCTCACAAATTTGTCCTCTAGGGAAGTGTCCACATTGCTTCAAGAATAGAACACCTCTAGCACTACACTCGTATATAATAAAACTCTGAGTAAGTTATGATTGCCACATTAACAATTGCACTATAGGAAAATAGGAAACAATACCAGTAGAAATGTATTCAAGGCCTAATCGATTGTAATATTTAAGGTTCTTTAGAATGCTTTGGATATCGTACAATATCCATTTGAACAATTGTCATTATTAAAAAACAAAAATGTAATTATAAAAATACTTATTAAATTTATTTTAAATTTTTTATTTAAATGTGTCTCAGATTATTCGATAAAAAGTAGTTTTTCAATTATGGTAATTATTATCTTAAATTAATTTTTATTTAATTTCATTAATAAAAAAATTATTTAAAAAAATATTAAGTCTTAATATTGTACTACTTATTAGCATAAAAATGATTATTTGTTAGCTATAATTAAATTAACTAATTAATGTATAATTTATCTATTACATTTAAGTTAATAATTATGATATATATTGCTATTAAATATAATTAACTTATTAAACTATTATTGCCATTTCATTACTTTAAGTTAAGTTTTTTATTGCACAAATTATGAGCAAAATATATAAAACTTTTGCTCCAGTAACTTTATGATATATAATATATATATTATGAGTTGTATATATTTATTACAACATATATAATATGTAATAATATTATTGTTAATTGCACTGAGCCCTTTAAGTTTAACCCTAAGAAACTTTAGGTTTCTCGTGGGCGTTTAAAACTATTTGGATTTCATAGCTGCTAAGAAACTTTATTGGGTAAAAAATATAATAGTTTAAGCTTAAATAAAATTCTGTTTCATTAAAAATATTGCTTTTGATAATTTAAATTTAATCTAATTACTTAAAAATATTTGCTTAAAATTAAGATTGCACAATTCCGGCCCAAGACAACGGAAAAATATCACATTTTTCAAATTAAAACTAAAACTGAAATTGTTTCTTATAAAATTGTACATTATTGATTGCGTGAATTTATATTAAATAATAAAATAAAAATTAAATAAAATTATAAAAATCTCATTTTTCTATAACAGAAAAGATTCTATTATACTTTTACTTATTTCTAAAAATTGCACCAATTTTTTGGTTTTAATTCTATATAAATTTTATTGCACCTTTTTTCGACTTTTTTATTTAATTATATTTTAATTAATAATTATATATTAAAATAAAATTTAATTTAATAGTATTAATAATTATTATTATAATATAATAAAATACATGATAAAATATATTAACTAATAAATAATATAAAAAAATTGGATTGCACAATTGATTTAGTTTTGAATTCTGCTATTAAATTCGAACAAATTAAATTAAATAAATAATTAAGGATATACTTATCAAAATAATTTTTAATTAAGGTTGAAAATAGCCTTGTTTATTTTAAATACACTATGTCTATTAGCTTCTATTTTTAGTATAGCTTAAAATTAATACTCTTTTAAAAAAATTGCTGTAATAATATTATATACTTTCTAAATGAAACATAAAAACTGGCAGTGTTAATTTTTTCTAACATTTTTGTAGAGTACTGAGTGTGTCTCAACGCTCTCCGCACCAGACTCCCACATATCTTCCGCATTCGTTTCGCCATCTGTTTCTGAAGATCCATATGAGGGACTGTGTCCTTGTTCGTCTTCCGATGAGTATAGATTTGCATTACCATTGCATCGACTAAAACGTTCTTCAGTATTTCTTGTAAGGGTTTTATCAGAATCTGCATCGCTATTATCATCGTCATGGCACAATTCATTTGGTGGTGGATCGCCCATATTTTCAAAATCTTCGAAACGATCTTCTAGCTTATTGCCTCTAAGCATTGAGGTTGCATTATTATCATTTCGTTCAGTTAGCACACTACCACTATCAGAATTATCTTCGATAGTATCAATGCGTATAATATGATCCCGACCACTCATTAATTTGAAATTGTATCGATCATAAAAACTGCGCTTGTAAACTTCTCCCGAATCTGCACTCATATAGCCACTATCCATTTCTTGCGTTCGCACACCAAAACGTTGCTCATAATAATTTTGGCTAGCTGGTGCAGAATAACTGCTTTTAGGTGTTGATATTTGTGGTTGATCGTCAATAAGTGAAGATATACCTTCATCTCGATCGAGTACCTCCAAGAACGTTGACGTTTTTTTATCGAATGGTGGTGCAGGACTTTGTGTTGGACTAAATTTCGATGCAGCCATGCTAACAAACTTTTTCCAAGCGTTTTTTAAGTCTTTTGTTTTCTTGGCCCGATCTTTCAGACCCATAGCGATTTGCATGCCATGCGTCAATTGTACAGGTTCAATCTCGCATCGATAGACTGTTTGTACTGTGCTTGTAGACTGTGAATTTGTAGATCCAGCAGTACTCCTTTGTGGATATGCTATACCCACAGGTACACCTGCATTGCGATATAGTTCCTTAGTGCGATCGGAGAGTCGACTACTGCTGCGATTTGAACGTGAACTAATCGATATTACATCGAGTTTGTTCACATCCATTTCGGCGATGTTTTTTTGATTGTTATTGGACTCAGTTGCTTGCTCATTAGAGTTATTATTGCAAAAATTTTCATCGTCGCTCTGTTCATGGTTTTTTCGTCTATTTAAATATTTAGTTAGACTATAATCATTACGCAGTCCATTCAATTTTGTATTAAATAAAGCTCCATAATCACTATTTTGCTTTTTTAATAGTTGGGGCGAGTCTAAATTTTTTCCGCACTTAGACTTTTCTATAATACTAGTTCTGGAACTGTCGAACTGTTCGTTTTGTTCAGCATAAAAATCTTTGCTTTTTTGTTGGTTATGTATGACACTGGAAAGAGTATTGCTGCAAGATTCATCAAATTCAGAGTTGGTTACTGTTTCAGAAACCCTGGTAACTTCTGTAAATTCACTATGTGTGCTATTGGTTTCTTCCTCTGTTGCATTTGCTTTGAATTGCTGCTCATTCTGGTAGTGGTGTTGGTATGACTGTCTACTTGAGGAATAACTTTTTTCACTATTTAGTGTACCAGAAGTGGAGGTTATTGGTAATGGAGCAGGTGCGCGTGTATCTAATTTTTTCTGAGCTTTTCCATTTGCGTTATGGGTACCTGTGGGTGTTTTGTTGAGATTCCAAGTCATAGAATGTTTAGTCCAATCGTAAATAATATTTGAAGCTGTACTTTTGATGCTAGGAGTAGGAGAGAATCGCGCCGAACTCTGTTTAACTGATTCAGCAATTGTATCGTTGTTCGATAAGATTGGTGGAGTGGCACGACATACTTTCGGTGTAGATATCTTGATCGTTGTCTTATTTGGAGCTACTTTTGTAATCTCAACTATCGGTTGCGGTTGTGAGGTGGGTGGCTCAATAAGTCGTTGTCTTCTTGAATGTTTTGCTTCTAAAGTTAACAAACGTCCATTTTCTGTAGGTGCTTCTGTTTGTTGTTGTACCAGTTGTCGTGCTTGGCCACCACATTTGCAGCTATTCTGACTATTCTGACGAACCAATTGGGACTGATAAAAATCTCTTAAAGATCCTACAGATGGACGCTTTGTTTCAAAATTGTCTTCGTTTGACATTAGTTGTGAGTTCCGTTTTATGCGAGTTTCATATGCAGAATTTCCTTCAGAGTTTTCTTCGAAGGAATTACTTCTTTTACGCATTAGATCTTTATTAGTAGAGGATGAAATATTTATGTGTTTGTGTTTTTCAGTTTCATTTGATTTGTGGTTGGTATATGATGCATTGGGCTGTCCAGACCATGAGTTGACATCGCAGAAACTTTGTTTTCTCGTGTTGCGATCTAATGTATCTGGATCAAATTGCTCACTATCTGTGGATTGTTCAATATCTGTGTTTGGTTCGTGCTCGACTTCAATTGTCATGCTACCACGAAAAGGTGTGTCATATTTAATACGTGCAGCGATTTCCTTTTGCTTTTTTGTGCCGCTCTCAGTTTTGTTGCCATGCTTCTTTTTTAACTCGCTATCCTTGCGAAATCCATCCAGTTTAACAGTGTGGCTTATTTCTAACTCTTCTTCAAGTGGTAATGCTGTACTTAAGCTAGGACTTAGCTGAGAACTTATGTCAGATGACGGAGATGAAGAGGATTGTGAACTTTTGCGTTTCGTCACCTCCAAACGTTCTAAGCTATCAGTTTCATAATCCACTATTAAATATTGTGGAGACTTTCGCCTATAGATGGGAGAATCAGGTTGACCATTCTTGAGCGACTTACGACTAAGAGTGCTGTAGTCAGGTGTTGGCACTGATGGGACTGTACTGTGTGTATTATAAATATCCTTCGTTTTCTTCTCCATTGTGCTGTCATAGTCCGGTGTTGGAATATCTAATTGAAAGCTCTCATTTGACTTAAGCGTATTATTGTAGTCCTTCTCTTCGTAAACCAAATCAGCTATTTGCTTCATGTTTCGCAACATTTGGTAATGTTGTCTGTCGGCCGAAGTTAATGACGTTGGCGTCGAAGCGACAGCGTATTGATCGAGTGCTTCTAAGCGCCTTCTCGAATTCTTTGAACGGTGAGAAGAACCTCGGCTACGCATTGAAGCCGAAGGCGAATCGTGTAAGTTAAATTTTGGATTATTGTATAGTTCGCCTCCAGTTTCTGCGAACCCATAAAAATTGGCTGCTGCTGAAAGTGCAGAAAATGCATCGTAGTTGCGATTTATTGGAATGCTGATGGATGCGTTATTGACGGAATTTGTGGAATAGTTCAAGAAATCGGTCGAAGAGGAATTTTGTGTTGTTACCGAGTCAGTATGCATAATTTTAATTACATTCGTTTTCGGAGATTGAAGTTTAGATCTATTGGAGGCATGGATAGGTGGTGGCGGTGGTTTCTGCTTTGGCGCAGTAATTTCTTTTCGTGGAGAATTCCTATTATTACCTTGTGGTGTTTGTGTTTTGTTGTTATTTGCTGAGTTTTTACTTGTTGTAAACTGTTTTTCTTCAGTTATTTGATTAGACCTCGATGTATGAATAGCAGCTGTTGATGTGTCAACGCGCTGTTCAGAACTAGATTTGTCTGTTGTTGGCACACTTTGCAGCCACTTTTCAATGCTATTTCGCTTATCCCCGCAATTTTTGACGTGACCACTGCAACGATTATTAGCACAACCTTGACATTCAGTGGAAGTTTGCATTTGTGCGCTGTAAAGTGAAGATGTCTGTGAGGCCAAAGCCACTTCTTCAGGTATCATTATTAGTGAGGGTTGATACCGTTTAGTAGCCATTTTGTATTTTGCAATGGCAATAACCTCACGTATTTTTTGCAGAAATTCAACAGCGGCAGGGGGTGGTTGCTGAAATAGTTGAAAACAAGTATTCAATATGAAAGCATTAGCATTTGTTGGCTTTGTTACTTACCGCCAGCAAATGTGGCTCAAAGTAGGCGGGATTAAAGTAAAGTTTCCGTCGTACATTCCCATTCACCAAGGCACGCAAATTCTCTAATTTTTCCTCAGTCATCATATCCTCTATAATGGACACATTTTCCACCGGCAAGCACTCGTTATCTTGTGTTGGTGAGGCACATGGCTCTATGACATCTTCATTAGCTATGTTAATACCAGAAGTTGTTGATGTGCCATTTAGATTACCATTACTGTTTAATTGAGGATGTATCAAAGCTGCTGTCTGTAACTGTAAAGAAATAAGAAAACACAAATTTAATGATCACTATTAAGTAGCTGGTATAATCTTCGCCTATTTAAGCATTCCGACTATTTAAGCATTACAGTTACTGTATTCTATTGACACCTACCTGTTTAATTTTATCATGAAAACTACCATCCATTTCACACTCAGAGTTCGAGTTTGACACATCACTTGTAAAGCCTGAATTATGTTCGCCTAATTGCGGAAAATGCTGCAGTAGTGGATTGTTCTTAATGATGCCAATTTCTTCTTTAAGACTGCCAATACTTCCACGCGAACGTGGCTCATTCGAGTTGCTTAAACTAGCAATTGAATACATGCTACCGCTTCGGTTGAACGGTGTACCAAATGTGACCTGGTCATTCTTTGGATAGTTGATCTCGTTTGCCAGATCGTCTAGGGATCTTCGCATGTGCAGCTGATCGCGTTGCTTACGTTTTTTCATGTGCAAATACAAGAACACAGAGGAAACATAAATCAAACCTAGCAGCAGGCTGCAAATACCAATGACAATGTACTCCTTACTAGTCATGCCATCTGATGTAGAAGCAAGTGTTGTAGTTGCCTCCGCTTGGAAAAGCACTTCAGAGACATCTAAAGAAATTGTGCAAAGATTTATTTAGCCATTAATGCTTTATTACTTGCGTTTAATTTAATTTATTAAACACTTTGCACTTATTTAGATTGCTCATGTTCAACTCAATATGTGCAAATATTTTCATATTGATGAATTATTACTTACTGTGAAAGTATTTGACTGGGCTACCGTTCACACGAAAGGCGACGCATGGTGAGAATATATTTTTGGGTGGTTTCAGGTATTCTGTGAATAATATAAATGAATTTATTTTTAATCATTTTTAGTAAATTTATGTAAACTACCTTTTTTGATTGTGCCATTTAATGCAATTGTCATATCTCGACATACTAAGTGCACTACAATCAGTCGTCCTTGCATTTTATGACGCAAGTCTGCCTCGCCTAACCACTAAAATTAAAAATTAATGTTAAACAATAAGAAAAAATGTTTATTTATAGGCTTATATAAATTTATTGTAAATTATCTAGATTTTCAGAAGTTCAAACATTTTAAGTAAGTCGAAAAAAAAACATATTTGTAATATATGACTCTGTAATGAAAATGGATTTATATTATTTCTTCATTACCGTATAACCGAGGACAGAGTAGGACTGGAAATGATATATCTCAAAGATTTTAACTTTACAAAACTAAACTCTGTTAGTAATATAATGGAACACAGTAAGAAGGTAACTTAATCTTGGTTTGATTAAATCGTTTCTGTTTTTGTAAATGTGATGTGTATATGAGAATGGTAGTGGCATTTCTAGAGATTTGAAGTTACATACTGCTTTGAAAACACTCTTTGTATTTTTATGATATCCTGTGCAAAAGATGTTTGTAAAATAAAATCGTGAACAAAATGTGCTTCCAGTGTATTTAAGTATGAAAAAAAAAATGTAACCCCAAACTATGGGTCTTACCACATTCTGGTCAGCAATAAAATGTGATAAAATACATTAAAGCACAGCATTAAATATATCTGGGGCATATAAAGAGAATGCAGCCTAAGCAACTGGCATATAAAGAATTTATTTATCGATTGGTAGTCATAGTAGAGATTGGCCGAGAAAAAGATGGATCGACCACCTTAACAAAGTTTTTGTAAGTGATTAGAGAGCCATCACATCAGATTATGGAATATGAATCGTGTTGGTTATGGAAACACCGATCCATCAAGGCCTTAAACACTAAAAAAGACGAAGAAAATTTGCAGCAATATTTGCATATACATAAATGATAAATTCGTTCCATGATTTAAGTTGTCAATAAAAATCTGACTATAATAACTTTTATCTGCAAATTTGTCTATTTATCAGATTTATTTTCAATTAACAAATGTTACGTTTACACTTGCTATCTTTAAATTGAAATCTAAAGCAGATAAAAGTTTTATTTACAAATCGCTACATTCGTAATTGCGTTTAAAATACAAAATCTTGCTAGCAAAATATCATCGCAGTAGATCGATCATCTCACATGCGTAGAGAATTTAATCTATCCCAGGATGATGCCAAAACTTGTTCTGACATTCATGCTGCTTGACGCATCCCTGCTGTTTCGTGTTGCCGACTATGTTGGTAGGATTTTTGGCGACATTCATTAAAAAAATATAAGTAATTAATATATGATAATCGCTTTAATATCTATATTAATGTATTAAGGATTTAAGATCGCGTGAAAAATACTCACGTCACATTGTGCTAAATGACGCTTAGTCTGTAATAAATTTCTTAATTCTTTTAAAGCATGCACGGATTAAGAAGATCTTCCTGTTGTGTTGTTTTCAGAATTAATTAATATGCATTTATATAAATTACCTGTAAGAATGTCCGTCCTTCGTCTCGGAACATGCGAAACGGATAATCTGTGTCAATTGGATTACGCAAATCAGACCAACCATTTGTTGTCAGGTACTGAGCTCCGGTAACGGCACATACAGGCGTGCGAATATCTATAATAATACAACCGTTTTTTTTTTGTTAAATTTGTTAAAACTTGAATAATTATTTAATTGTTTTTTTGGTTTTTTTAGTGGGAAAATAGAAATATTCTAAGCAATATTTCAGCGTAAATGTCTTTTTTGATTATCAATCTATCTAGTGGCCATATTTTAAACTGTATAATTTCATTTCATCATAGACGCTTTCTAAAAAACTTTTTATTCAAGACTGAATGTTTTTGTTCTTGAAGTCAATACTTCTTAATTAAACCTGCAATTAAAACTGATTTTATTCGCTGAAGTCCAAGCTTTTTAAATGACTTTCAGTATGGATAGAATGGGTCTTTCCTATATACCATTTTTAAATGGCCAGAATCTGTAAATTTGACACAAACTCTTTTGGAATAACTCTTTAAATTTGACAAAATGTTATTTTAGTGTCAATTTATTTAGCAGCTAAACAATTCTAAGTACAAGTTAGTGTAAAACTTAAAACATTTGTTAAGAAATGAAGATAGATTATTAATAAGAATACAAAAATTTTGTCTTGTCTTTCCATTCAAAGAATTTTTTTATTTTGGTGACCTTGATCAATCTCTGATTAATACTTTAGCAATTAGAAGCGATGAATCCCCGTTATCACAATTGGTTTCAGTTACAGCAAGGACTGTAACTGATTTAAAAACCAAAAATTAATCTTATATCAATTATTAGAGCCAATAGTTATACTAAATATGTGCCTCGAAGATGAGAAAACTATTACGCATATTCTTAGTGACTGTCTAGCTTTAATAACGCACAGAAAAAACTTGTTTCATATGGAATTTCTATCAGCATAACAGATTAAGAGCTCTTCTCTAGATTTATTTCTGGATTTTGTTCACAAAGCTTTAAAGGTCTTTGTGCAATCAATAGTGAAATTGGTACAATAGGACTCTTCTGGCCGTAGTACCGACTATTGGGTGATTTCACGTCCAAACTTTAATTATTATTATTATTATACTTAATATGTGAAAAATTTGATTTAATGCAGAGTTACAAAGAATTAACTAATTAAACAATGAAATAATTTATATAATTTTTCTTCAATTAAATTCTATTGTCAGCATATAATTTCGCTTATGGTGCGATCATTAATCAGTGTAATGAATAAAAGACTCTTAATTAGGAAATTCTAAGTAAATTTAGTAAAATCCACTACTTACCGGGAAAACTTATTTCTCTGCTTGGATAGATGATTTGTCCACGCAAAGGCAGAAACACGAACGGTATTTTCTCTGACGACGAGCCGCTAACGAACGGCGACAAGCTGCACTCTGTAATACACAAAAAAAAACTTTAGGTAAAAAATTGTGTGATTAATGCCTTGGCGAAGTTGTAAATTTGCAATGTTACACAGTAACAAACATGTGTGCGTGTACATTTAAACAAGTCAACATAAATGGTCGCTGCTACTTGGACTTTTTATTGGTGTGAACGTCTCCGATTTTCTGCAGAAGTCGAACTGACGTCGCAGAAATGAAACAAAGCCGTGTTTGGCATGCGACAACGATTTTTTGTGTTTTCATAAGTTTAACACAGTTTTTTTTTGTTGAAATGTAATAATGCAAAAATAAACATTAATTATTGTTGCAACTATTGCATTACATTTTCAGTATTTCTTTTCTTGTTTTTTGTTTGTTTACCATTTAATTTTATTTGCCTATTTTAAGTTTTTGCCACCACAAACAGTGAAAGTTCATCATTTCAATCTTCTTCTTCTTCTTGAATGTGTCTTCACTGAGTTTCTTTGGTTTTTCTGTCTGCTATGGGAAAAGATGTTGGAGATTTTTTATGGAAATACTGTAAGAGCAGACGGTTCACTTCCATACATAAAATATAATTTCTTGCATTTTTGTATATATCTAATATTTATAAATATATTTATAAATATTGTGCATAAAAAAATTAAATTATAATGGTGCTTAAATAAATTAAGAAAAGTTATTTTAAGTATGATAGGCTTTTTCTTAAGTTTACATCTTAGACGTTCATATCATAATTATAAGTGAAATCTTTAATATCAATCACTTAAATATTTAAATCAGACTTAATATTGTTCCATTTTCGAATCACATTGTACGCGACGTTTTTTTTATTAAATTTTTCCAAGACCACTGGTGATGGGTATTTGGCAATACTCAAAACAGCTGTAGTATGGTCAACCAAAAATTCAATGAATTAAAATAATATAAAAAAAATTTTTGTTGTTGCAGTTCACTATTTTTCTAAAACCTCTTCAATTTTTATTTTAATTTTTTAATTTAAATATAAATCAGAATTGTTGATTTTATATTTTTCTAATCTAAATCAGTGGTTTCCAACTTTTTTTTAACCAAGGACTACTATAATATTTTAGTTTAGAGTAGGGATTACAAAGTTTAAGAATAATAAACTGCATGATTATTAGAACATGCTTTATTCATTTCTGACGTAATGTTTAATGAATTATATAAATGTATAGATGCATTATATAGGCTATAAGGTACATATGTGCATAATTTGGAAATTTTTTTGTGCTTATTTTCTAATAAGTCAGGTCTCAGTGGACAATCTACAAACTATGTGTCCCATCTGTTAAATTTGACTAATGAACCACTTTTGACCATCTCGCGGAGCACTGGTTGGCAACCGCTAATCAAAATCGTTCAACACCTATACCAAATTGGTGTATCCGATACAAATATTTGCAGATTCTGCTGTGATGAGGAAGACTATAGAACACCTGAAGAAGAAACAAGAGAAGAAACAAAATTTTAGGTGCATACCAACTAGAGGATGAAGACCTTTGAAAATTCCTTCCAAAGGAGCTGGTTCGATTCCTCGAGATACTGAATGTCTAAATACAAAGGGGTGCACCATAGATCAAGCTGGTCGCAGTGCATAGGGGCCTTAGCCTAACCCAAAACCCCCAATATCATTGAACGCTGACCAAATCATTCAGCTGTTACGACATTTTCATAACAAACATTTACAAATCATTTCTTAATTCAAATTTACAGTTTAAGATTCTATAACTGATAAAGCACCCAGTTTAAATAAAGTATAGTGTGAACAGTAAAGCGTCGATCATTGATTTCCAACATACGCATTGTTTTTTTTTAATTTTTAATTAAAATTTCTACATAATTTTATTTCAAATTAATAAAAATAATTTTAAACGTACATGATAATTTACTTTTTGATATATTCACACTCTATAATTATATATATTTTTTTTAATACACTAACCCATAAAAGAAATCAATTCCCAACTCCTAAGCAAAAACTAATAAAAGTGTAAGTGTTATAACTGCAATTTTATTTCGCACAAAAAAACAAACTTCACCCACATGCAACTGTTATACGCACTTAACAAAACTAACAACCGCAATATATGCTTTCGCAGCATTTACACAGCGATAACTTTTCACACAGTTATTTTCTTTATACGGTTGTTTATAATACTTTTTTCTTACAGTTACGAAGTTTGTTTTCATTTTCATTTGGATTTTTATTTATATTTTTTTTTGTTGTATTTTCCGTCAATTGTTGTCGTTGGAGCTTTGTTTTTATGGCATTAAATTTAAGCCACAACAAATTTCTTTAGGAAAAAGAAATAGAGGGAGAGGCAGAGGAAGAGGAAGAACGAGGAGAAGCTGTGAAATTTGTGCCATTCAATATGATGATAATTATGATACCAACAATGATGACAGTGCGGATAATGATGATGATGGTGATAGTATTGTTGTGTTGTGGTTTTGTTTAATTTGCACATAAAATCAAAACCATAACAAAAGAAAAAATTAATAACAACAAAGAAGGGTAAAAATGTGTATCATTCATGAGAAAATTAGATAATTTCAGCTTGACACATGACAAATTTTTTACAAGTCGCTGAGTTGGTTTTTCATTAGGTAAACATTTTTATATACTTTTTATTTTACTGTTGAAGTAATTGCAATTAAATTTTAATTACCATTTTTAAGCATTTTGTCTTCCGTATATTTCATAATTTTTTTAACAAAGTAATATGATTATATATGCAAATTATTTATTATAGAAAGACAGTGCAATGCAATTGGGTACCTGAATAAATTTCTTATTAAATCTGTGGTCATTAAAATTGCTTCATAATACATGCAATAAACCACGAAACAAGGAAATCTTTTTAAAAGTGCATTGAGTCATTTTGTTATATATAATTTACGATAAATTTTAATAAGCGATAAAATCAAAATAATATTTTCCATTCTAACAAGATATATTTTGTAACATATATTTTACTAAAATTAATATATTAAAAGCAAATACTTTTGTATTTTGAAATGTGATTACAATAGTATTTAGTCTAATACTTTTTCACGTATAATAGAGTTGTATGATTATATATTATATATAATCTTTACGTATCTTATCATCTTTAACACTATCTTATACTATTATTCATCTGCGTGACAACATGGTCTTGACAACTTTGGTATTTTATTTGCATCACAATGCTTTCAAGATGATACTTTATATACTAGGGTGGACCCGAAAATATTTTTTCCTGATCAGATTGTTTATATCATTTTCTAGTATTTCAGTGAAGAGGAAAAATGTCTGGAAAAATTTTGAGAAAAAATTAAAATTAAGGCTTGCTGTAACCAAAAGGATCCCGAAGGAAATTTTTTTTTACCATACAATTGACAGCCATCCGAACGCACAAATAGCTTTTACAAATCAACTAAGATGCCATAAATCTACAGCAATCGCATGGAGAGCTACTGTGTATTGTGTACAAGACTTTATAATCTAGAAGCACCTCTTGTAGACAGTTTTACCCTTTTCTTGACACATATTAAACACAACATAATTACACGGATTAAGTAATGTCATGATGTCATGATATTTTTGTCATTGCAATGCGGTGTATAATCCATTCTTATCATATTGATATAAGTTTCAAATATGTTTCTTAGAAGTATTCTACAATACTTTCTTTCAAAAATCTAAAGTCTTGTTTATCTGCAGTTGTTAATGTCTATGTTTTACAACCATATATGATAATAATTGTATTTTGCTATTATGCAGATATGTTAACTATGTCATTTGCTATCAAAATTCCAAGATAAGGTTACATACTTGTCGGATTCATACATTGTCACTTCTTATTTATTTACGATAATTACTGATTTTACAACTATTACATTATTTGCGTTTTTATTTATATTATTGATAACAGTTTTTCCACTTAATATTTAGATGTCTGGCATATTTAAATATCAAATTGTTTATCTTTAATTTTTGTGTTTTTTTTTCTTTTATTTTTGATTTATTTATTCCTTTCTTTCAGATCGATATCGTATATTTCCGTTTTGCACATATATATGTTAAATTAGTTCATATTTAAGTGGTCGTCTTTCCATGGCCAGATTTTCTTCAGTTCAGTTAGAGGTCTCCATACAAAAGTACTATCATGACTGCAATTTAGTTGGAAGCCAGCACCCCAATATTTGAAAATTTTAGCAATCATTTTCAAATCTGATTGTGAATTTATTAACAATGAAATCGAATAATAACTAAATTCGCAATAGATTTCAGGAAAATCAAGTTATAGTTTTTTTCGGCTAATAATGATTACTTAACCGGCTAATAACGACACTCTGGCTAACATCTCACTTAGAGTATCGGTTAAGAATGGCTTCTTATGATTTACCAGACTCTTATATAGAACGTTATAATTTTTTTTTTATGAGGCTATATTAATATTGAAACAGTACCGTCTAGTTTTAAGCACCTCTTTGAATTATGATATGCTGATATAACTGATTCCATATATATATAAGTATACCATATATACTAAAATTGAAAATAATTTTTTTCCTAATAAACAAAATTTAAGTATTATTAATTAAATAGAAACCTTTGATCATTTTTAGATGTACATTTAATATATCTTTTAAAAAGTTTAATAAAAAATTTCCCATATTAACTAATATTTAAAAATAAATATCCAACAATAAAAGTTTATAAATATTTATGAAAACATTAAAATTTCTCCAAGTGGACAATAATTACTAAATGAGCTCAAAAGAAACAAAATTGTCACTAATAACAAAAAAAAAAAAAATAAAATTAAGCGGTTTTGTGAGCGCATTCTTCTCACTAATTTTGAAAGAAAGCACTTTTAAGTCACATTATATGGCATGTGCTGCATGCCACAGTGTTTATGCATCAATGCAAGATTTAATGCCACATCAAACGAAATATAACTGCAATGAAAAGTTGTTGCGGGCAGTATTATTGCATTGGC